ATAAATCACTTTGCTACCCTGTTTAGAATCCTCCAATGACCTATTTTCTTTAAAAAAAAAATTGAGATATGATTCACATACCACCATTTTGAAATATGCAATTCAGTGGTTTTTAGTAGATCCATCAGGTTGTGCAAACATCACCACTAATTCTAGCAGATTTTCGTCACCCCAGAAAGAAGCCATGTACCCATTCCATTAGCAGTTACTTCCCCAGCCCCTGGCAACCACTGATCTACTTTCTGTCTCTAATGATTTGCCTCCAGTGGCCTCTTAGATTAAAATCCAAATTCCTTGCTCTGGCCTGAGAACAGTGGTTCTTGGCTTGTGGTTTCCGGACCAGGAGTATCAGCATCATGTGGCAGCATGTTAGAAATGCAGAATCTCAGTCCCCATCCCAGATCTACCGAGTCAGAAATTCTGAGGGTGGGGCCTAACAGTCTGATTAACAACCCTTTGTCCACGCCAGAGTTGGAGGACCAGTGGCTCTAAAGTCCTGAGGCATGATCTGGCCTCTTCGAATTAATCTCCTGTAATCCTTTCCCCTTGCTCCCTCTACAGTGACCTTCCTCTTCCATGAAGGTGCCACACTTGATCCCTGCTCAAGGCCTTCACATTTGCTGTTCCCTCTGCTTGGCATATGCTTCTCCTAGACCCTGCTGGCCTAGTGCTCTCATTCTGTGTAGATTCTTGCTTAAGAGCCCTCTCTAACCACGGAGATGCTGAAGTCGTTGAGTTTGGGTGTGGAGAGGAGGCCTGATGTCCTGAGCATCGTTTGCTTGTCCCTCCAGATTCACTCTCCACCTTTCTCCACCCTGCCTTGTAGCCCAGGAGGTTGACTTCTCTCAACTGCCTCAGTGGCTTCCCTTGCCGGCTGACTTCCAGTTTGTCCAGTGGGGAGTGAGGGGACGACAGGGGAGGGAGGAGCCGGGTCGGGGTGTTGATTCCCGGGGCTCCCTCTCTGAGGGCTGGCTGTGTCCCTCTCTGCACGGCACTCTCTCTCTCTCAATTTTGTACTGTGGCTGTATTAGCTATTTAGTGAAGATTGTTTCTACGGTAGAACCTATACCGTAAAGCAGATGGCCTGTAAATACTGGACGAATGAGAAGGACGTTGAAACAGAAGTAGGGTGACTGTGGCGTGACAGAGGCTGAGGAAGTGAGGAGACACACTCTGATTTCTCTCAGAGCATGTAGCTATGCCACATGCGATATGCTGTACCACTTCCCAATACCTGAGAGAAAACTTACTGTGAAAATAAGTCGGATGTAAATCTGTAACATGCAATAACAGCTGCAGGATTTATTCATTCATAAACAAGTACTACTTGCGTGCTTGTTACAGGCCAGGTACAGGTCAAGGTGCTGAGGGTACTGTATTGAACAGACAAAACCCTGGACTGTGTGGTGCTTACGTTCTAGTAGGGAAGACAGAGAATAAAAACAAGTTAAATAAATGTAATTTACGGTACGTTAGTGACGGTGCCAAGGAGAGGAATAAAGCCGGGTAGAGTGTGTGTGCGTGCGTGTGTGTCAGGGTGGTGGTGGAATTTTAGGAAGGATGGCCAGGGAGGGCCTCACTGAGGAGGCAGCATTTGAGTAAAGACTTGAAGGGAGGGAGGGAGGAAGCCATGCAGGCACCCAGGGAAGGACATTGCAAACAGAGGGACAGATGCACAGGCTCCGGGGGATCGTGCCCAGTGCATGTGGGGAACAGCAGGGAGGACCCTGGTGGCGCAGAGAGAGTGGAGGGGGTTAGAAGGAGTTGAGGGGTGGAGAGGTCATGGGGGACAGATGTTGGTGTGGGCAGATCAGAGTCAGCCAGTCCAAACAAGACTCCGTCTCCCCACGTGAGTCTACCACAGTCACAGCACAGAGCAGCCCTGCTTTTCCTCCTGGATCTCCTCTCGCCATCCACTGACTTGCTCAGTTCACACGTGCCCCTGCGCCCCCGCCCTCATTTAGTCACCAGACCCTGTCTCTCCCAGTGAGTCTATCCTTTTTTCTCTGTCGTCCTCACCACTGCCCTCATTCCGGTCCTCACTTCGTGCCCGAATTGCTAACTCCCAACTTGTAGGCTGTCGTCAAGATGTTGGCTTTTACTCTGGCACCCAGTCAACCCCTAAAATAAATGGTAGCTCTTGGGAAACTTAAAGACTCTTATTTGACGAGGAGGAGGCTGAGATTCCGAGAGGTGATGTTACTTCCCTAAGCTAGACTATTTATTAACAGATATTCCCAGATCTCCTGCCCAGGCATCAGCAGCAGTGTCACGTTGCTGGCCCAGCGTCGGGGACTTCTGTACACTCACTAAAATCACCACAGGGCTCATCTTCGTACGTGGAAGGCGGAAACGGGGTCAACTCATGCGCTTGGCATTTGTGCTAGTGTTAATCCTGTGGTTTTTTTGGGGAAAAGTAATCTTAAACAGAACACATCTTTCATCATTCTTGTTTGTAATTATACTTTTAAATAAACGAAGCTCTTGTTTTCCAGAAAGTAAATTAAACTTTGGGTTACTGTGGCTAAACAGAGCATTTCTTAATCTTTTTCTGCTGTAAGGAGCAGCTTAAAGAGTAGAGGAGGGATCAGAAGAACAGAATTGTACCCTGACCCTCACTTCTCTGAGTCTTTTTCTTCATTTATAAAGAGAAAGTAATGCCTGCTCTGCTGATCTGCGAGTTGATGTCGTTCCTGAGATACTGTGTGTGAGAGCACTCTGAAGAGTGAAGTGTACAAAGTAGGGTTCTCTTATCTTATGTAAAACCCTTTTATTTGTTGATACAGTGTGTGTTTAGTGTATATACTGTATGTTAAATATTTCTGTAATTTAATAAGTACCCGAGGTCTCATATTTACAATGAACACAACTACTGTTTTTTGAAGTGTTAAACTTCAAAGAAAGTTTTTTGGTGTGGGTGGGGAGTATAGAGGAGAAGTGCTATTTAACACTCAAGTATCAATTCTTTGTCTCTGTCATTAAATATGCTGTATATTTTGCCAGAGCAGCAGCAGGGTGGAATTCTGTGAGCTTAGTTAATCTTTGGTGTTTTTTCCAGGTGTTATGATTTTTGTATCACGGTTTTCAAGTGCTGCCTTGTTGGCTAAGTTGACGCCCAGAACTATGTGTCTTGATGTAGTTCAGTTTATCAGAATATGGAAAACCTGATTTAATTAGCTTGAAAGCTTCTGAGCTAATACTGGGAACCTACAGCTTTTTTTCATATGTTGTATTTATTGTTTCAACAGCATCCACTGTTTCAATTTGTCTCAGTTACCTTCCGGGTGTAATGGGTTACCTTTTATGTTATACCTGTTTATGTGAGTGAAGAGTTTGGTTGCAAGAAGTGGAGACTTGGATTACCTTAAGAAAACATGGTTTTAGTTGGAGGAGGAGCTAGACAGCCCCAGGGGCTGGGACCGCTGACCCCATCCATTGTGCACATCTTCTCCTCGAGACCAAATCCTCGAGGCACAGGTCTGACGTCTCAGCCAGTTTCCATCATCGTCCCTCATCAGGCACCGCCTTTGTTACAAAGAGGAGCCTAGAGCAGCCTTCTCAGTTCTGGGGTCAGGGGCAGAGACATGGAAGCCAGAAGCGGAGATTGTGTGACCTTCAGCAGGTACTGTGACTGTTGTGTGATGTTCTTGTGTCATTGTGACCTCGGTGCAAATCCTACGCATTCTGCTTTTTTTTTTTTTTGTGAGAAAGATTGACGCTTAGCTAACATCTGTGCCAATCTTCCTCTGTTTTGTATGTGGGTCGCGGCCACAGTGTGGCTTGATAAGCAGTGTGTAGGTCTGCGCCTGGGATCTGAACCCATCAACCCCGGACCCCTGAAGCGGAGCATGTGGACTTAACCACTGTGCCACTGGGCCGGTCCTGCATTCTGCTTTTTTACAGCCGTAAAACCCAAACTTTTGCCAATGTTTAGCGTGTCTCATTAATTATTTTTGCAGACTGCATACTGGTCCATGAAGTTTATGTGCCATAGCCCTGGCATTCCCTCTTTGATTAGAATTATTTTCATGGGATAAATTCTCACAGTGGGATTATTCTTTTTATCCTGATACATAGTGATGTCCTCGGGGTGGGTGCTCATTGAGTTGAATAGACATAGGGGTTTACTGACTTGCATCGCCATCCACACTTTGTTTGCTGCTTCACTCTGTTCCTTCAGCACTGGGAATTAACTGTTTTTGTAGTTTAATAGATATGAAAATTTGAATTCTTTAGTAGCAATATTTTTAAGATATAGTATCTATTTTTACTGAGAGAACGATTGTTAATGAGTTTTAGATTTAAATCTTTGGCTGGCCTGAAGTTTATAGACAGAGTCAGATAAGTTCTAGCATAACAGCCAATCATTTCTGCTTACACTTTGTTGATAAAGACTTATGCATTAATGTAAGTATTTAATTTGATTAAACATTTTAGATTTAAAAATATAAGTTTTTGAATAGGTAATATGTGTACATGGTATAAATATTAAATTTCCTTCAAAGTTCTTTCTCCTATTTCCCATCCCCCGCCTTCAGAAGCAACACGTTATGTTCCTATATATCCTTTCAAAAAGAGGCTGTGCATAAATAAGTATACATGTATGGTCTCCACTGCTCCCCCTTACAGGACTGGTAGGAAGGTCTGTTTGTAGTATGGGTCTGGCACTTACTAAGAACTGTGTAAGTATTTGGTAAACAAGTAAGATGAATAAAATGTCAGAGAAAGATTTAATTGGCCCTTTTGTGTGAGCTGGTTTGACTGTCCTCCAAGGGTCCCCAGGGGCTCTGCAGGCCCCACAGGAGCGGGGCAGGGAGTCCAGGGCAGAGCTCTGGGTCCGTCCCTGCACCTCAGCCAGGGGACAGCCATACTGTTCGGTTGTACATTTGCACTTCGCCTGAGACCGTTTGGGGAAAGGAATTGAAGGTGACTAGGAGGTGCAAACCAGCAGTGTGGACAGCCCTGGTAACTGTTGTGTTTCTCCTTTGTTTTCAGATGTTTCTTACAGTGTACCTCAGTAACAGCGAGCAGCACTTCACAGAAGTTCCAGTTACTCCAGAAACAATATGCAGAGATGTGGTGGATCTGTGCAAAGAGCCTGGCGAGAGCGACTGCCATTTGGCTGAAGTGTGGTGTGGCTCCGGTACGAGACCCGGGCAGCCCTGTGCTCAGTGGGGCCGTCTTGTGTTATTATTGGTTTATAGACGTGGCGCTGTGTGACACTCGTGTTTATCCACGAGAAAGTGTGACTAGTGTGTCCATCAGGAGATAATGTTCTCGACCCAGCTTCGTCGTGACATGTCAAGTGTTTTTGCTGTTTTCATTTTCTGCTGTACAGTGAAGACACCACGGTGTCAAACATCAAAAGACAGGCAGCTGCTACACCAGGTGGAAGCTTCTGGGATGTGATGTCAAATGCCTGGTGCTCAGAAGTATTTTTTGTATACTTAGGCTTTACTTAATTAGAAAGTTGGGGCATCCGGATTGTTTTGCCCTCTCGATGTTTTTGTAGGTTTTTAGGGAAAGCTGTTGGGTGTTGAGTTACTGTGGTGGCAGAAGGCAGTGCCCCACAGGACTTTGTAGGTGTGGGGGTAATTTTTCATAATTTCTGCCTTGTTCCTACACAGCCTGGGTGAACTTGCACGGTTTTCTTTTTCTCCTCTGGGCGTGCCATGTCCCAGTGCAAGTCGCACGCCGTGTTAATTGGGTTCACACCATTCATGACATCTGACTTCAGCTGAGTGCTCACTTTTTACCAGGAAGACCTGTTACTCATCTTGAGTTGAGTGTTCTAGAAGGTCTTCTGTACTCTCCCTGAATGGCTTACTACTTTTTCCCTTCAAATAGGAGCTAGATGGGACCATTCGCATAAAGAAACCCAAGTGATCCTTTTTAAATGAAGATTTGAGAGTTTGACTTTCCTGTTTAAACTCTTCGGTGGCTTTCTCTTCTACTTAGAAGAGGATCCAAACTCTTGGTCTTGGTACCGTTTTCCTCCTTTCCACCTTCTTGCAGTTTTTTCATATCTCTGAATAAACTGAACTAAGCTCTTCCCACCTTAGAGCCATTGGCACTCGCTGTTCCCAAGCCTCCATGGCTCTCCCTCCAGATTTGTCATTGCTGGTTCCTTCCGGTCGCTTGATTTCAGCTGTCATGTTACCTCGTGGGAGAGGCTTTCCCTGAGCATCCTGCTAGAGCAGCCATGAAGTTCTCTCTTCTGTCATGCTGATTGAATCCTCTGCATAAGACATGTCGCTCTGGGTTTGTGTGTCTCTGTTAGTTTTTTGCCTCTTTAATCCCTGTAGCCCCAAACACAGCCCTAGAATGCAAACTCCCTAAGCGTAGAGATGCTTGAAGTGTATCTCAGCTAGTGCAGGCCTAAGACTGATCTTTTGTCATCATAGGCCATCAGGACCTTAGAATTAGACCTTATAAGAAGGTCCATGCCCTTTTTGGAAGGTCCAACCCAGCATGGACTGGAAGTTACTTCACTTCTTTTGAGTTCTCTCTTTGCTCTGGATCCTGGGGATTTCACTTCATTTCTTTGGAAGTAAAGTGTGTGTGTGTGTGTGTGTGTGTGTGTGTGTATGTATTTTTTTTGGTGAGGAGGTGGAGGGTCTACTCAGAATTTCTTTTTGGGGTGGTGTCTACTCAGGAGTGTTTTTCTGGGGGCAGCAAGACCTTGCTTGTCTTGTTCATTGCTGTGCCCCAGCTTAGGGAGAGTGCCTGGTATGCAGTAGGTGCTCAGTAAATGTTTACTGAATATTGAATAAATGAGCTTCTTGTTTTCATTAAAAGAACCCTTAGAAAATGAACTACAACTTAGAATTTCTGTGGTTTATAGAAGGAGGGGTATCTCTGTCAGCTCAGTACGTTGTGTTACTATAAACAGCCAGAACTGCACTTTGTTGCGACCAGGCAGATTAAGTTCAGGGTCACTCCCTAGATTTGGCTACTGAATGCTTGGCCGCTCCGTTCTCTGCTCTTATTGTTTATTTAAGGTGCTTAGATAGTGTCTTTGATTACTGACAACAGCATTGAGTTTTCTTAGGCTATTTCCACATTTTTGTATTAAAAATTATTTTGACATTACTGGAGTTTATTTGATTTTAAGCAGTTGCATCCTTAAACAGTATGTTTGGTTTTTATATCCAGATCCGTTGAGGTTGGAAGATTTTTTGAGCTTAAGATATTGTTTCTCCTGAAGTTCCCAGTTATTAGGGTCTTTAGCTGGGCCTTCTTTTTGTCTCCAGAAAAGTTTTGACACCTGGCAGTCTCATTGGAAGAGGGGCCAAGTAGATATATTTTCAGTGCACCAAATAGTCTTGGGTTTGGAAATGGATATGTCTGATTTTTTTTAACACAGTCTGTAAAATTATAACTTAAATATAGTCTAATAGATAGTAAGACTAGGCTATTTAGAAAGTTGTTTTTTAATTTTTTGTTTGTATATTTAGCAAATCCTAGAACCATTAGAGTTAGAGGGGACCTCAGAGACCATCCTATGTAGTAGGTGACAGAAACTTTGGAAGCCCATGGTGGTTAAATGACCTGCCTGTGGCTAGCAAGGAGCCCACTGAATTAGACTCTTGAGCTCCTGACAACTGGCCCAGATCCATTGCACTTTCCAGTCCTCCGTCCAGGCTTCACACTGATTATATGTGTGGAAAATATGTGATACTTCATGTTCTAAGGGTTCTTTTAATGAAAAAAAATTATCTAGGATGCTGAGTATGTCCTGCATTCATAATGCATAATTAGCAGGAAGGATAGATAATAAATGATACGTCTTTCTTTTACCTGCAGATAATGTGATTTCTATCCGTTTCTTTTAGAACGTCCAGTTGCTGATAACGAGCGAATGTTTGATGTTCTGCAGCGATTTGGAAGTCAGAGGAGCGAAGTTCGTTTCTTCCTCCGACATGAACGCCCCCCTGGCAGGGACATTGGTAGGTAGCACTCTATGAATCATAACAAAGATCTGAGTTTTTATTTCACGTATTGGAGTAGCTGGAGGAGAGGTGGCATGTGATCAGGAGCCGGGTCGTTTGAGGGGCGGAGGAGACGTGAGGAAGTGGAAGCAGTGAGACACTCTTCCAAGACCTGGCTGTTGGGGGGCAAAAAGGGTGTGGGTTTGTTTTGTTTGAAGATGGGAGAAGTTTGATGGTAGTTTTCAGTGCGAGTGGGAAGGAATCAGTAGAGGAGGTTGAAATACAAGAAGAGGGGAGCGCTTGATGGCAGGTGCCTGAGAAGGTGCTCCCTCAGCCCTGGTGGAGAGACTCGGAGGCGCGGAGGGAGCCCTCTTACGTTGCAACAGGATGGAAGGAAAACTGTTAGGGCTGCAGGTGAGTGTGTGTGCTTTGTGGGAGCAAGTTGAGGGACTTCCCATCTGAGAACGTTGGTTTTCTCTGAGGTGGGAGGCAGAGGCACCTGAAAGTGGTGATGGGGGGGTGATCAGCAGTTTGAGCTGTTGTGGAGAATAGGAGAGCGCCTGGTAGGGAAGCCAGATGGCTGGGGACTGTGGAGGCCAACGGGGGTTGGACACTGGAGACCACAGGGGATTTTCTCCAGCAGTGAGTGCCCTGCACCCCAGACGGTTGTAAGAGGAGAAGATAGTTGGATTGACCCAAGGTGGGCGTTTTGCTGGACTAATTTAATGGGAGGCCAGTGGGACAGGGGAGAAGAGGAGATTGGCAAGATAGCATCCAAGCTGGGTGGGGAAGAAGTGAAGATAGGAGGGGCTGCAGGGAAAGAGTCCAGGGTGGAGAGACCACAAGTCTCAGATTAACGAACAGTGGAGTGAGAGGAGACTGTGGTCAAAAAGTAGAATGTTTGAGGGGCGGGCCCCATGGCGTTAGCGGTTAAGTGTGTGCACTCTGCTGCTGGCGGCCCGGGTTCGGATCCCGGGCGCGACTGACGCACCACTTGTCAGGCCATGCTGTGGCGGTGTCCCATATAAAGTAGAGGAAGATGGGCACGGATGTTAGCTCAGGGCCAGTCTTCCTCAGCAAAAAAAGGAGGACTGGCAGATGTTAGCTCAGAGCTGATCTTCCTCATGGCAAAAAAAAGAAAAAGTAGAATGTTTGAATATAAGATTTCAGAGGGAGAGTGCTTATAGGTGATGTGGTTCTGGGTTGGGCCATGAAATGAGCCTGAATGAGAGCGGACACGAGGACGCCACAGAGCTGAGATGGTAAAATCATCCAGAATGAAGGCAGGACTTGGAGAGAAAAAGGGGGTCACAGCTGTGGTGACCGAGGGTGTAGATGTGACCAGACTTGATAAGGACAGAGGAGAGGGTAGAAGGGAATGTGTGAAAGTGGAGAAATAGTGGCCTGAAAGCAGCAGTAGACACTGAGGACGCAGCTATCCCTGTGACCCCAGAGGCCTCATAGGATGTGGGGGAATACGCAGTTTAAAATCTGGGATCTGTGGGGAGGCTCTCTTCTCGGTGGGAAGCCCTGGTTGAAGCAGGATTATTAGGTATTTCTAAAAATCTTGAAACTTTTAAAATGGAAAGTTGAGGGTTTGTGACTTCAGTATATAATTCTTGGGAGTGAGAATGTAGGCAACAGATGTTAACTGTTGGGTGTTATAAAATCTCAGTTTTATTGCTTTAATGCAAGTGTCCATATCGTACCCAGCAATGAGAAATTTTAAAGTTAGAGTGGAGGGGACCCAGAATTGACTTAGTCTGGTGTCTTCTGCTCTGCAGATGAGAAATGCTGATCCTTAGGGGTTAAGTGACTTGTCAGAGGCTACACACCCAGGGCAGAGCCGGGAGTGGGACTTGAATCACCTCCACCAGGCTGGCTCACGTGACTTTCAGTATCGTTGCTGTCTGTAACTTTATTTTAAAGAAGCACGTATTTTTTTCCCCTAAACTTTCTTTTTTGTAGTTTTAAATTGGCGTCTTGTTTTTATTTTGTTCTTTATTTACATTACTATGTACATTCTTTTTTAATAAATGAGTTGAATCTTACCTGTTCATCTGCCAGTTCAGATATCGTCCTGTATAGTCCTGGGTGAATTATTAACTAGTCCCTCAGTAGTGCAATATGCAGTTTCAGTGTGTCTGTCATGTGAGAAATACAATCTGAAGAGGAAGGAGCCGTTTTCACATGGTTGCAGAACACCAGTGCCACGTAGTGTTTAAATTGGGATAAAACAGGATTGCTTTCTGTCTGTTATAACCTTTTTAGGGTGGACTTCTAGATTATGGACTAGGAGACTGTCACCCTATTCCTGTTTGAGTTTAACTAGGACCTGTGCCCCCGAATGTGTATGAAATTATTGTTGAAGCTCTTGCTTTTTGCTCTAATTGTGTAACTGAACACGCTAAGGAGAAACTAGGGGAGTGCTCTCTTTTTGAGGCAGCAAGAAAGCAATTATTCTTAAATGATAGACTTTTCTTTTTCTTGCAGAAATGTTGTGACAGATTACTTGAGCTATTGTGTCAGAGAATTGAACAGTATTTTAAAAATAAGGCTAATACTTTAGAGGTAGGTGTAGTGTGACACCTGGCTCAGGGGATAGACATATTTATTGGCATGGGAATTTGTGCTCAGCTTCAAAGCAGGTATAAATGACATTTGATTCAAAAGAAATTTTAATCTAAAATTTCTTGGATTATAATAGTTTTTCTAATTTCTGGGAAGTATAGGTATAAACTTAATTTCATTTATTTATTTATGTATGTATGTATGTATAGAGGTTAATATATATATATTTTTTTTCTTTGTGGGGAAGATCAGCCCTGAGCTAACATCCGTGCTAATCCTCTTCTTTTTGCTGAGGAAGACTGGCTCTGAGCTAACATCTATTGCCAATCCTCCTCCTTTTTTTTTCCCCAAAGCCCCAGTAAATAGCTGTACGTCACAGGTGCACATCCTTCTAGTTGCTGTGTGTGGGACGTGGCCTCAGCATGGCCGGAGAAGTGGTGCGTCGGTGCGCGCCGGGGATCCGAACTCGGGCCGCCAGTAGCGGAGCACGTGCACTTAACCGCCAAGCCACGGGGCCGGCCTAATTTCATTTATTTAAAAAATTCTCTTTGTTGATACTATTTGTTTCGTATAATGTATCAATTTATTTATTTATTTATTTATTTTTTGTGAAGAAGATCAGTCCTGAGCTAACATCCATGCCAATCTTCCTCTTTTTGCTGAGGAAGACCAGCCCTGAGCTGACATCTATTGCCAATCCTCCTCCTTTTTTTTCCCTTTTTCTCCCCAAAGCCCCAGTAGATAGTTGTATGACATAGTTGCACATCCTTCTAGTTGCTGTGTGTGGGAGGCCACCTCAGCATGGCCGGACAAGCAATGCGTCGGTGCACGCCCGGGATCCGAACCCGGGCAGCCAGTAGCGGAGCGCGCGTGCTTAAAGCTAAGCCATAGGGCTGGCCCCTAATGTATCAATTTAAATTAAAAGTATTTTCCCTTTATGATGCATTAAGTGATAATGAGAGGTTGATATATTTTGACTTGAAAAATTCTTTTTAGCCAGAAAAGCAGAGTACACAGGGTTTTCTAGTTAGTACTTTCCCAAACTAATAAAATGGAGGTTTTTTACTTAAATGGGGAAGTACTTCATAGTACTTAGGAATTACCACAAACGTTCTCAATAAATCAAATATTCAAAATACCACTTGTTGTATTTTCAATTGCTTCCTTCCCATATAAATTACACTGTTAATGAGTGCAAGGATGGGTTAATTTAATTTTCACTTATTTCTCTCAATGAAACTATTCCTGATTTCATTAGTGAGTACTAAATAGAGAACTTGGGGGAGCAGCTATAAGCAAGTGGTGTGAATTACCCAGAGTCAGAAGTATATTTTATTTTGTTAATTTTTCTTCCTTTGGTATCTGAATCATCCAGCTTCCTAGGGAATGGTTAGCATGTGATATTTCCAAGTGCTAATTATTCACTGTTCCAAGTAAGGTTCTTCAAAGCAGACTAAATTATGAGACCTTAACTGCATTGCTATTAGAAAATATTTTGTTTTAAGGATACTTTCAACTTAAAATATCAAAGAGCAATAATAACAGAACTCAGGGTCTGGCCTGGTGGAGCAAGTGGTTAAGTGCGCGCGCTCCGCTACGGCGGCCCGGGTTTCGCTGGTTCGGATCCTGGGCGTGCACCCATGCACCGCTTGTCAAGCCATGCTGTGGCGGCGTCCCATATAAAGTGGAGGAAGATGGGCACGGATGTTAGCCCAGGGCCAGTCTTCCTCAGCAAAAAGAGGAGCATTGGCAGATGTTAGCTCAGGGCTAATCTTCTTCACACACACACACAAAAATAATAATAACGGAACTCAGATATGAATTGGTACTTAGAGTATCTGTCAACTCTAGAGTTAATGCATGGTTTTTCAATTTTGTGCTTAGTGAGTGGACCAAGGTCTCAGGATCCAAGTTTAAAAAGAAATGGCGTAAAAGTTCCTGGTGAACATCGAAGAAAGGAGAATGGCGTAAGTGATAGTTTTCACCTGTATCTGTATATGATAGTGATATTGCTCTTTTAACCTATAAATCTCGTTCATAGTTACTTTACTGTTCCATGGGTTGTTAAGGATGGCCCTTTTTTAAGAGGTTATTTTAAACTTATTTTGTAGAAATGATTAATCGTAATGATCTCTGTGTGGCTGGCTGACTATTGAAAGAAGTTAGGTGGTGAATATACCACAAATTTCGGAACAAAACAAATGTTGAGCAAGTTCGAGGAAGTATTTGTTTTTTGGTGATTTCATTTGTTGCTGTAACTGCTTTTAGAAAAGTGGAAAATTATATATTAATACTCTTGCTATTGCATATGAATTTTAGCAAGTATCTTTGGGGTACCTTGTAGACATTTTCTTTTCAGAGCTCAGAATTTTTAATACTGTTAGGGATTAGCTAAGTTACCTTTCTCCAATCTACAGTGAATTTATGTTAGAACCCAGGTTATCTAAAGTACCCTTTGCTCCTACTCGACCTTTCCCTCAATTCTTCCTGTGTCTCTTCTTTGCTCCTAGAGTTATCTTAGCATGGTGAAAGGCTGAGATAACAGCGACAAAAATGGTCTTAGCCATTAATAGGACTCCAGTGCGTCTTGACACGATGTGTCGTTCCCCCTCGCTGTTTTTTTTTAAGCTTTATTGAAGTATAAATGACATATAATAAACTGCACATATTTCAAGTGCACATTTGAGAAGTTTTGACATATGTATATACGTAGGAAACCATCACCGCAGTCACGATAACGAAAATATCCGTCACCCCCAAAAGTTTCCTCACATCCCTCTGTAATCCTTCCCTACTTGCCTCCCTCCCCATCCTCAAGGAACCACTAGCGGGTCCACTTTCTGTCTCTACAAGTTAGTTGTATTTTCTAGAATCTTATATAAATGGAGTCATCCAGTATGTACTCTTTTTGCCTGAATTTACTCATCATAATTTTGAGATTCACCCATGTTGTATGTATATCAATAGTTGATTTCCTTTTTATCGCTGGGAGGTATTTCATTGTCTGGATATACCACAGTTTATTTATCCATTCACCTGTTGATGGACCTTTGGGTTGTTTCCAATTTTTGGTTGTTCCATATCAAGTTGCAAGGAGTATTTGGGTACAAGTCTTTGTATGGACATATGCTTTTATTTCTCTTGAGTAAATACTTAGGAGTGGAATGGTTGGTCATGTGGTAGGTATATGTTAACTTTCTAAGAAGCTGCCAAACTGTTTTCCAAAGTGATTGTTTTATTTTATATCACCATCAGAGAGTTCCAGTTTTTCCACATCCTTGCCAATATTTGATATGGTCAGTCCTTTTACTTTTGCCTATCTAACAGGTGTCTAGTGGTATTCCACTGTGGTTATAATTTGTATTTCTCTAATGGCTAATGATGTTGGGCATCTTTTCATGAGCTTATTTACCATTTGTATGTCTTGTTTTGTGATGTATTTATTTGTTCTACTCTTTTGCCCATTTTTTCCTTTATTGAGTTGTTTGCTTTCTGATTATTGAGTTTGAGAGTTCTTATATTTTGGATCCGAGTCTTTTATTAGATATATAATTTATAAATATTATTCCCAATTTGTGACTTGTTCTTAATTTTAATAAAGTATAATCGATCAATTCAGAAGCTTTGTAATTTTAGATTTTACATTTAAGTTTCTAATCCATTTTGAGTTAACATTTGCATTTGGTGTGAGAATTAAAGTTTATTTTGGTTCTTGTATATGGATATCCGGTTATAGTCGGTATTTGTTGAGAAGACTGTCTTTCTCTACTCAGTTGCCCTTGCACCTTTGTCTAAAGTCAATTGCCCCATATGTGTGTGGGTCTGGTTTTGTGCTCTCTATTCTGTTCTATTGATCTATTTATCTGTCTTGACGTCCATACCATGCTATATTGGTTTCCGACTTTATTCTTTTCAGAGTTGTTTTGGCTATTCTAGATCCTTTGCACTTCCATACGGAATTTTAGAATTTGCTTGTCAATTTATACAAAAAAGCCTGCCGGATTTTGGTTGGGATTCTGTTGATTCTATAGATCGGTTTGGGAAGAATTGCCGTCTTGACAACAGTGAGCTTTTTCAATTCATGAACACCGTGGTGTATCTCTGTTTGTTTAGGTCTTCTTTCTCTTAGCAGTGTTTTGAAGTGTTCAGTATACAGGTCTTGCACATCTTCTGTTAAATTTATTCCTAAATTCTTCATGTTTTTTATGCTATTGTATATGGTATTTAAGAAATTTTTTTCAGTTTCTGGTTGTTGCTAATATATAGAAATACAACTGATTTTTGCATATTGATCTTTTATCCTGCAATCTTGCTAAATAACTTATCAATTCTGGTAGCTTTTTTGTAGATTCCGTAGGATTTTCTTCATAGATGATTATGTCATCTATGAGTAAAGACAGTGTAACTTCTTCCTTTCTAACCTGGATATAGTTTCTTTCTTTTCCTTGTTCTGTTGCACTGGCTGGAACCTCAGGACCATATTGAATAGATGTTTTGAGAGTGGATGGACATCTTGCTTTGTTCTTGATGACCCAGTGTATCTTGAATTTTTTTAAGGCTGGTGTCATATTTTTAAAGGGTATTCTGATAACTGTATTCTAGATTGGTTGCCAGTGCCCTAGTATCATGTTTAACATGATCAAACTCTGTTTCCTTATAGAAATTAACTGTAGAACAAAGTAATTCTAAATAGTTCCATTTATATCACTGACTATTGAAACTACTTAATTTTAAAATAGAAATGTCGATCTGTATATTAGTATGTTTTACATCATAACTTAATAAGTCAGTGTGGGGGTATTAATATAAAAATTAATGGTCTCTTTAATATTGTGGAAGAAAAATGGCTAAATAATTTTGTCATGATTGGTTCGGATGAAGCTTGTAAATAGACCTTTGAGAGAGGAGTCTCTGTGATCATTTTATAGTAAGTGGATTCTTTGTGTTTTTATTTGTAGGTTAATAGTCCTAGGATGGATCTGACTCTTGCTGAACTTCAGGAAATGGCGTCTCGTCAGCAGCAACAGATTGAGGCCCAGCAACAAATGCTAGCCACTAAGGTAATGTCCTGTTTTAAAAACCTAACAGGCCACTAATGTTAACGTATGTGTAAAGCTGTTCACATTCTACCCTCATTATAAGCCAGTTACCTCACAGGTGTGAGTTGATAGTATCAACCCAAAAGTTGCTTGCCGTGTGGGGCTTTCTCCTCTTTTCTACAGCATTTTGTAGAAATCCTAAAATCATCCCAGTTGTTCAAGATCCTCCTGACTCCTGACTCTGACTGAAGTTAACCCTGCTGTGTTGGGACCAGTAACAGGAGAGGCATAAAGAACCCCTCAGCTTTGCTGGTGGGCACAACTCTGGGCTCTCCTTGTCCTGAGTCGCTACTGCAGCAAGAGGAACCTAACAGTCTACCCATGCTAACGCTGTCCCCTTCTGCTGCTTGGCACCCATAACAGGCTGCTTGCCTTGGTTTGGGGACATTCTCCACCCACAAAGTAATCCTAGTTCTGGCCTTGAATGAGGAAAGTATAAGAAGTTTCTTTGTTACTATCAAACCTGTCTCCCTGCTGCTTCTCCTGCCAGCCATGGGCCTCTGGTCCAAACCAGGTGTCCTCAGAATTTCTCTGTGTGTGTATATATAGTAAGTATTTTAAGGTTTGCAGGCTGTGCTCTCTCAGCTCTGCAGCTGCAGCAACAAAAGCAGCCGTGGACAGTAGCTGAACGAAGGGGTGTGGCTGTGTTTAGTAAGACTGCACTTAGAAAAACAGATAGCAGGCTGGATTTCACCTGCAGGCTGTAGTTTGCCAACCCCCGGTCTAAACACTCAGTGTCGGCACCTGACTGGTCTTGTAGTGATTATAGGTTCACTGAAGCTGGTGTGGACAATTGATGCTTTGACATAGCGAGTCACCCAGCAGGGCTTTGAAGCCGTGGCCAGGGCTTCTCTAGGGCAGTTCTCAACAGGCACTGGGTCCTGTCTCCTTCCATGTGATACTTCCTAGGGTGCCTGTGCCTCTGTTTCTGTTTGTAATGCCAGACACCAGCTTTTTCAAAATCGTGTGTTATCATTGCTTCTCAGACTTTAATACGCATACGAATCACCTAGACATCTGGTTAAAAATGCATATTGTGGCCCAAGTAGGTATGGGTTGGGCTCTGAGATTCTGCATTTCCAACAAGCTCCCATGTACTATTCCTTGAGTAGCAAGGTCAGAAATTCAAATAAGAAAGGTGGTTGTTCACAGAGTAAATCTCTAACCTCAGGGTCTTATTTTGAAACTATTTCTAAGTTATTTATATGTTTTAGGCATATTTATCCAAGAAGTTTATCTTTGTCTATAAATTGTGGCTCTATTACTCAGTTAAAATTTTTAGTGTAATATAAATAAAATTTTAAGTTGCATAATTGCAGTTTTCTAAAGGCATTAAGTAGTTTATTTAGTGTGTAATTGTGTGTTTATTGAATGTATACTATGGAAGGGCCGGTTCACAGAGATTTACATTTCACATCTCATTACTCCTCACTATAGCCCTGTGAGGTAGTTATTATTGATCATCCCAACTTTATAGATGAGGAAACAGACTTGTGTACTTGTTGAGGTTATGTAATTTGCCCAAAGTTTCGTAAGTGGCAAAGTTTGGGTTTGAATCCATGTTTGACTCCAAAGCTTATCGTTTAACAACTTTCTTACACTGTTTCCCATCTCTAAATGAGCTCCTTAAAATTATAGCTGCAGTTCATAAAAACTAGTTTAAGGATCACTGCTTGCTGCGTAAGAACCACTTGGATAAAAAAATACTGATTCCTGGGGGCCACCTGCTGGCGTAGTGGTTAAGTTCGTGCGCTCTGCTTTGGTGGTCCGGGGTTCGCAGGTTCGAATCCTGGGCATGGACCTACGCACCACCCATCAAGCCATGCTGTGGTGGCGTCCCATATAAAGTGGAGGAAGATGGGCATGGATGTTAGCCCAGGGCCAGTCTTCCTCAGCAAAAAGAGGAGGAT